AGAGATATTGTTCCAGGGTTTGGTTTACACATTCCATTTGTCCATCACCTTCTGGATGATATCCCGAGGTGAAGTGTAATTTCATGTCAAGAGCTTTCCTGAGGGCCTGGAAGAAATGGGAAATGAACTTGGAGCCTCAATCAGAAGTTATGTGAGATGGAACACCATGTTTGGAAAATACATGAATAATGAAAAGTTCCACTAATTGTAAGGACGTGATTGTATTGTGAGTGGGTATGAAAATTCCTTGTTTCGAGAATTGATCCACAACAACTAGGATGGATGTAAAGCCTTCGGAAGTCAGAAGTTGTTCAATAAAATCCATGGAAATTGAGTTCCAGGGTTTTTCCAGTTTGGAAGTTGCTTGAAAAGGCCATACAGCTTATGTCTCTGGGATTTAGAGCATAAAGCAGGTGGTGCATGACTTACAGAACTGGGTTCGGAGGTTGGGCCAAGTACATTCTCTTCGGATTAGACCAAAAGTATTGTTAATGCTGTAATGTCTGGAGATTGGATGATCGTGTTTGTACTGAAGTATGTGGAGTCAGAGATTATCAGAATCTGGAACATAGATACATCCATTGAGATGGATGAAACCTTGAGAGTCTTGTGATTATCAGGGTTGGTTGGGATTATTGGGGACTTCTAGGTGTGGCTTGAGGGCCAGATCGGAGGTGAGTGTGGAAAGAATACCTTGATGTAATCACTCAATGTCCATAATAATAATGCTACACATAATTGGATAGTAGAGGGAAGTTGCTCGAATAGATGCAGAAAGTTGCTGTGTTGTAAAAACCGGTTTCAAGTTATGTGATTAACAACAATGTAGTTACTTTCCCCCTCTTTAGGATAGACATCCCATCGTTGGGTCATGGCTTCTGGTTTTCCACCAAGACATCTGGGTCAGAAATGGATAATCATGTTGAAAGTGGAGAGAAATTCGGACCAGTGGGCCTGCTGGCAGGTCAAAAGTTTAGTGGTAGAAAAATATATGAGATTTTTGTGATTGGTAATGATGTCAATGGGAGTTGCAGAACCTTCGAGGTAGTGCCACCAATCTTTGAAAGCTTCAAAGATTGCTAAAAGTTCCTTATCATGAATGTCATAGTTGAGTTCAGAGGCTGAAAGTGTCTGAGAAAGAAATGCAACTGGATGAATTTCACCATCATAATCTTGAATGGAAAGAATCACAGCAATTGCATAATCAGAAGCATTGGTTTCCACAATAGTTGGAACATCAGGTTTCCAATGAGAAAGAATTGGAGTGGAAGTGAGAGCATTTTTTAAAGTCTGGAAAGCAGAGTGGCATTTGTCATCAAAAACCCATGGTTGAGATTTATGGGTAAGGTGAGTGAGCAGTATTGTAATATCTGAGTAGTTCCAAATAAAATGACGGTAGAAGTTTGTGAAACCTAAAAATGACTGGATGTCTTTGACTTTCCGTGGTTCAGGCCAATCATGGACAACCTCAACTTTAGTGTTGTGCATATGGAGACCATCAGGTCCGATAATGAAAAGAATCCATGTCAAAATAGCATTTTTTACCATTGGCAAAAAGACCATTTTTTCGGAGTCTCCAGAAACTTCGCAGACCTGCTCATCATGAAGAGTGGGATCCTCGGAAAATACCAAAATGTCATCCAAATAGACTATAACACATATGTCAAGCATGTTGGAAAATATATCATTAACAAAACATTGAAAGGTGGAAGGGGTGTTGGTAAGGTTGAACGCCATAACCAACCATTCAAAGGATCCATAGCGAGTTCGAAAAGCAGTTTTCCATTCGTCGCCCTCAGCAATTCGGACCAAATAATAGGCATGTTTAAGGTCTATTTTGGTGTGAATATGAGCTTTCCATGGGGCATCAAGTAAGTCGGTAACAAGTGGAAGTGGATACTTATCTTTCCATGTTATGGAATTTAAACCTCTGAAATTGACATAGAGTCGAAGGAAACCATCCTTTTTCTTGACAAAAAGGACAGGTGCTCCATACAGAGACTTTGAGGGATGGATAAAACCTATCAACAGATGTTCATCCAAGAACTCCCAAATAGATGAAAGTTCTGATTGGGATAACAGGTAAATAGGTCCTAATGGAGGTTTGAACCGGGCTCAATATCAATTTTTAAGTCGTAAGGCCTATGTGGTGCAAGCTGGTCAGCTTTTTGCTTCTGAAAATGTCTGCGAAATCATGGTATGTATTTTTCAGGAACTCCTTCCAGATCAGCTTTTAGCTCAGATAATTCTGGAGTCACAAAATGTCCAGATGCTTCATCAACTTTCAAGCTGATCGAAAAACACTGTGATCCATCCAGTTTACTCACCCTAACAAATGCCAAAGCATTGAGGAGAGAGATTGTTGGAGGTTTGGAGGTATCGGTAGAAGCCAGAGGTGTGTTACAACTGGAATTCCCACCAGACTCTGGGCACTAACTTATACGTGCCAATTGTCAGTTTACCAGAATTCCTGCCGGACTCCATCCCTGTCTATGTCTGACCTCATCCCACATGTCAGTCACTGGACCCTGCTCAGAAAACCCATCATCCCTCTAACTGAGCCCTGTTCCCGTTTTAGTCAAATGACCTGTCATGATTCGGACTCTGCTCCCGCTCCATTTCCCATTATGGTTTATGATTTGTCACAATTCGGACTCCACTCCGTTCCATCCTGTTCCTAACACCAAATTTGGTGTTTACTATTCTCATTTTATGTTTTGCTAGTTTCATTTCATTATTACTGGATTTGGTATGTTATTCATTCCACAGTCTATATAGTCTGGCAGATGTTGTACATACAATCCAGTCAGAAAATCAGCTTAAATTTTCCCCAGTAATCTAGTACACTTTCTGCTCTAAACTCCTCCTTGAATTACACTGCTCTCACTAGTCAGAGCCCATGGGCTCCAATGCATCTATCTCTCAACCTCTGACTTATTTATCCCCAGCTCCCCAACCTCTCGACTCCCCAACCTCTCAACTCCCCAACCTCTCGACTCCCCAACCTCTCGACTCCCCAACCTCTCGACTCCCCGACCTCTTGACCCACAAACTCCACCCAGACTCTCTGGAATTCCCATCCACCTGTTTTGAAATTGGACAACATGATCTCGCGATGGCACAGCCTATAAGCTGAAGCCAAGTCCTACCGGATATCCCGTGGGTTTCTCTGGAAACCCACCATGTATGTACCCTTAACAGTATTTTCTGACCAAGACTCGCAGATTGTTCAATATGCCACCAAGAAGAAAAGTGCATGCACAGGCATCATTACCTGGACTGTCGACTCATCATTCCCCATTAACTTTGTATACCAGCCAGACACTTGCGAACCAGCTGGAAGCCATGGAAGAAGCCCATATCAAGGAAGTCCTGGAAAACCAGGATGAATCTGAGCATGAGGACAAGTCTGTGGCCCCCAACAAGGGCAAAGGTGTTGAAAATCCTCCACCTAACGATCGACTGCTGCTTTTGGATCCCACCTCTGAGTATTTAGCAATCACTTTAGAAAGGTTGATGAATCACATGCTCAGAGAAGGCAAAAAGAAAGATCCAGAACCCCCGCAGTCAAAAGTCAATGCTCTGGAACCCTTCACGGGTTCCAACCCAAACAAACTCTCTACTTTCCTCATGCAATGTCACTTCAATTTCTGCGATCGATCTGCCATATTCTCCATGGACTCCTGAAAGTCAACTACACACTTTCATACTTGTCAGGATCTGCATTGAAATGGTTCAAACCCACTTTTAGTGGAGTTTCTGAGGAAGAGCCACTTTGGCTCAAAGATTGGGATGCTTTTGTTGAGGAGCTAGAAACCAACTTTGGCCCATATGACCTGACTGGAGAAGTGGAGAACAGTCTCACAAATCTTCATATGAAGGACATGCAGTGCATCACGGACTATATCATCCAATTCAATAATCTTGCAGCTTGTTGTCAGTGGGGTGATCCCACTCTCTGCCACCAATTCTATGCCAGTCTGCCATGCCTTTATGGCTGATAAACCCTACTGTGAACTGCTTGGGTCAATAATGTACACTCAAGTTGCTACATGACTGGATCTATCCTATGTAGTATCTATACTCAGCATATTTTCCTCTAACCCAGGCTGCACCCACTGGAATGCCCTCACACATGTCCTTTGGTATCTCAAGGGAACACTCAACTATAAAATCACATACAGGGGAAAATATAAGGACCTCAAACCAATAAGATATGTCAACACTGATTATGGTGGGGACCACAACAACTGCCACTCATGGTCCAAGCACATTTTTATCCAAGCAGGTGGACCCACTGTGTGGGGGATGCAGTACCAACCTACCATTGCACTTTCAACTACTGAGGCAGAATATATGGCTCTAACCAGGGCAATGAAACAGATACTTTGGATGTACTCAGCAATGGATGAAGTTGGATACCCCCAACCACACCCAGCAATCCTTTGGAATGATAACACAGGGGGGGTTTTGCTAATGAAGAATGCAAAACACAATTCCAGGGTCAAACATATTGACATTTGCTATCACTATATTCATGAACAAGTTGCAGATGGTGATGTAGAAATAGGCCACCTTGCTTCCTCAGAGAATCTCGCTGATATGTTCACTAAACAGCTGCCATGTCATGCGCATGAACAACAATGCATTGCACTCCATATTTGCGAATCCATTGAGCAGTGTTATGGATCGGGATCAAAGCCTAATGTGTGCCTAATCAAAGTATGGATCAAAGCTTAATACATGTCTCAAGTCTAATAAGTGCCTTGTGTGCACTTGTGATACCAATTCAAGACATTGTACGATTTCTATTTTTTCTCAGACTCTTGGACTATTATAAATTATGAGCTGCTCAACCAGCAAACCTCAGTCAATTCCTTAACTCATGTCGACTGAGACTTTACAACTGAGTAGTAATGCCATGCTTTAAAGGCTTCAAATATTGCAACAAGTTCCTTGTTGTGGACTGTTAAATTGTGTAATGCTAGCATTGTTTCCAGGGTCAGGTGGTGTAGTGGTAACACCCTTGCTATGTATATAGTCAGAAGCACTGGGTTCAATTCCCTGTCTGGCCATTCATTTTTTTTCTACACTTTTAACATAGACATCATAATTGAGCTCAGGCCTGGTGAAAGTTTGGAGGAAAGCCACCAGGTGCACTTCCATGCATTTACTTTGATGGGTTGTTCTCCATATCATGCTTCATTTTGTAAGCTCAGAGAATCTTGGCTTCAACAAGCTTGGCTTGGCTTGGCCTGGGCTTTCACGCCCAGCTTGTGACTTGAATGCAGGGTCTGAGGCCGGGACTTTCCGATCACTATCATGTCTTACATACCGTTGGGAATTTGAAAATGTTCAAGTGAAAACTATACACATCTATTTTGAAAAAAGGAACCTCAAGAACCTAATAGTAGTTTAACTCAGTCATGTTGTAGGTAAGGTAACAGATTGATATATTATGTACCTAATAGTAGTTTAACTAATAAACAACTATTAGTTACAGTAAGGCGAGTAGCTTAGGATCTTAACTCACCTCAGTCACATTGTAGGTAAGGTAATGGACTGAGGTGTTTCTACTATGGTCGACTACCTTATATAGCAACCGGTCGGCTCCGAGTGAGCGACGCGTAAGCCTAAATTCAACACTCCTCCTGGCTAAGCGTTCTCCTCGGATTCACATAGACGAAGAGGGGGCAAGACATTGGATCGATATCCCCATGCTGTAATGATGTTATATGTCGATATGTTTTACTCGTGCATTGCTTTTCATGTTCTTTATCGGAGATACTGCACCTCAATTGCCATTCCATAGCAAAGGCTGATTGCAGTCGCGGGTAAACCAACTTCATCCATGACAGAGTACAACCACAGTGTTCGTGCCATTGTTTTGAACGCTCCTCACCATTGCACTCCTTGAAATCGAAAAAATTGTAACGGTCATTGTTGCTCTTGTGATCGTGAGCATGCGATAGCCCCTTACTACAACAATCTAGGTATTTACTTACATGTTAGAGATTACAACCAAACAATCCTCGTCATTCTCTTATCTCAATCGTTGCCGATTGCTTACCATTAACTCCGATATCACACTCTCATCTGTTTTTCTTCCGCCTTTGGTCTACTTTATCTGATCCATAAACTTAAGACGATGTCACATGTCAGCTTGCCATCCCCCGTATAACTGAAGTGTAACTCCAATTATCTACCTCAGATACTAGTGCCATTTATTCGTTCTTTAGTTATGTCTTATTTAGGTAGCCAGCAATATATTTGCTATTTCCCCCATGACTGAAAGTGATATATTTTTATTTAGTCATCCTCCCAGCCATGGTTCTAAACTTCCCTATACTACCGTGAGCTGCATATATTTATGATAATATCTATAGAGGTCAATGAATAAGGGCATCGAAGATAGTGTTTGACTTGCTGTACACCAAGACAGCCAGATGGAGCACGAGGCACACTACTAAATGACGCCCTATTTTCCTGAATATTATTCACAGGCGACCAATACCAATACCTTAAAAAGGTTAATATTGATGATAGATAAGAGTTGGTCGCACAATAATACAAAGTACAATAATCCCTATCCACTCCTAAGGCTCACCTACGCGACACTACGCACGTATACCTTCCTCCTACCCACGCAAACAATTAGCAATTGAAACGATTTTTCATAACCGCAGCCAATTTGAGATTAGTTCGTATTCATCTTTTTTTATGGGCCAATTATTGCCTTGTTTGAGGTCACGCCGCTGTACCCATTGGGAGCTGGTAATACTCAATCAGGTAACTTCAACATAGTGGCAGCGTCAGTCTACGTCAACAAACCCTCGTTTGGCACTCACTCTTCATTGTTGGTCAAAGTAAATCCATCGCGATTCTCCGTATTCACTGGCCATGGTGACTCATGGATCCAGTCCGGTTCGGGAGAGAACGATGCTCGTATTATTTTGGAAACGACAGGCTCCCCTGAGCATTTAAACACGCATTCTTCAAGGGGTTCAAACACATATACCGTTGGTGGCTGGCAGTGGTGAATGGGAACAGACGCCACCTCCGATGTGCAGCTTTCATCCCAAGGGGGCGCAATGTCCCTAGTGGAATAGTTTAAGAAAATGTAATTTCGTAGGACAAGAGTTTTACACACCCTTTATCAAGTTCCAATAAATATCCAGATTCCACATTAACAAGCGTTGCTTTGAGAAGTTCAATAATAATATGAGATGTAGATATCCCTCAGGCCTTACCAAGTCGCAGCTCGTAGGGAGATATGGATAAATTGTGATCACTGACAAATTGTAGGACATGACGTGAGAAGAACTTCCATACTTCACTTGGGCTTATCCAACTGTAGTGGTAGTTCATCACCGACGTGGCAGGCCGACCATCGTAGGTCAAGGTGTATCTATTGAAGTAACATCAAGATGTCACAGACAAAGCTAAGGTGTCCATAACATACCTTTTATACACTGGCCTGCCTTCAAAAGTGATAATATCAGGCTCGGGAAGTATTGGCTTATTACACTCCTCATATTCCCAACGTGGGGCGTCTGCTGGTCGAAGTTTGTACGGACATATTGAATTAGACGCAAGAGGAAGCTCGAGCATGAGATTATGGATGTTTCCGAGGACCTGAAATTTCCAGATCTCTCTGGAAGATGCATTGGGAATATACCCTATATCACCCAGAGCAATGGGAACATCACATTGGACCAACGCTCTTACTGGTCCCAGCCACTGATGAGCAAATAACGACTTGCCGACATCTTCAATAGTCATCTGACGATCAATAGTGACAACAGAGTGAATGTTGGTGGCAGTGTCTGACATCCAATACAGGGCTCCCGCCAAAAATCCACATATAATGCTGATGCCTTTCTGAGGCCGACTATTGATGCTAGTCAGGTGGATACTTTAATGAGAGGTTATACCTACAAGTCGGATACAATGTCAATATCACTATACCCAAGTGCAGTTTCTGTCTGTAAATTAAGGCCATAAGTAGTTAATTATGTAGGAGGAATAGAGGACAAATTGGATACCACGTCTGGTAGGCCGTCTGTATATTCCCCGCTGTATATGAGCGACCATTGTGACTTACCACCCCACATATGCCTTCCCACTACACCTGAAGAAAACTAGAATAATTGTGGAGCAGCTCATAATCCAAGAGATAGACTTACTAGAGGGAGTGCGCAGCGAATTTTTCGCCGAAGTTGAAAATCAATTAATTGCTAAAGCACACAGGTAAGTTCATATACAGGATAGAAGCCGATTGTCACTGAATTGACCTCGAAAGACTCCTTCTAATGAGTCATGATAGCTTCAGTTCCACTAATAGTGTTTCATGCCAGTCATACCATGTGATACAGTCCTTCTATAGTTTCCGTCGGACACGACCCAATGGTTCTAGTGAGCCAATCCTGGAAGCGCTCCACATTATTCTGTGGGCATTGATAGACGTGAAAGGGGATGTCATCATTCCAAGAACCGAATCCAATCAGCTGAAGGTTATTAGGATCCCTGTTTATTATCATCTTGTTTGGAATGTCGGAAAACAACAAATTAGCGAATTTTAATACCAAGACGTTTTGTAATAATTCAGCATATTTAGAAACTACCTCGATAAGGGTAAGTAGCTATAAGAATTCGATCTAGCTCGGACTAACGGTTTTCTGTTTTCTCTCCTGACTTTCGTTTTTGCCGTGTCCTTCATACTTTTTGACAATGAAGGCGCGGCCACTTTTGTGATGTGCTTCATGCAATGTAACGGATACACCTAGGTAGTCAGGTGCTTTTTCAGGAAGAGGAGAATGGTCTGGGCAAATCAGCCGAATATCCGTAAATTCTTCTTTGATGTAGTATACCAGCTGAAGGTTATTTAGTCAGTGTGGGACAACACGCACATTTATAACCCGGGATGTGTACGTCAGTTCCAGCCAATTCAGCCATTATGGTGTTTCTACCCATCAGAGCAAGTGGCGAGTTCGAATTCGCCAAGAGGCGCACATCTGCACGGGACGCCAATCTGGACAACACTTCGTTCATGGTGAGTAATGTATTGAGTCTAATCGCCAGCTTCAAATGAAGTTTCAGTATTTCTTCTTCAGACATTAAAACGGGAAAAATTACGAAGATCGGATATTCGAAATTCCTTAATTCGTCGGCCAGACACATTATCTGTTGCTCACGAGTGCGATACCGAAGTACAGAACCCCAGGAGGAGGTGAGGCTCTTTTTTGCCACCTTCAGGAGTTTTTGTAAAAACCTCCATGAAATGTCGATATATTGAACGAAAATGCTATAAGTGAAAAATTATATTTGCTTACTCGGTAAATTCATCTAAACAGGCCTTTAATTCGCCAGGTGCATGATCCCACTGACCATGGGTATACTCTGCTATGATGACAAGGCGAGTCGCAGCTTCATGGATGAGGAGGTTTAGGTTCACGTTATTGTATTTTTCCACCTTATCGTAGCATCAGCTTTTGTTCCGGTCTGAGATATTTGTAGCCGTCGATGGCCGCCACTTACTGCCACCGCCTTAATCACTCCGATCAGAACGCCAACCGCGGCATTTGCTTCGGGAGGTGCCTCTACTAGCTGCTGAAAAATGGGTGTGAAGTCCATCTTTAAGGAAAGAAAGAGGTTAGATCTCTGAGAATGTCTGCCAAAGATCCTTATATATATTCATATGCACGTAGTAGTGCGGTGTTGGTATCTGACTGGCCGATGTAATCTGTACTGGTACTTAACCCAGTGAGTACTCTATACCAGAACTATATCACATGCAGACAGCCAATTGCACAGCAGTAAATTGTTTTACACTGACATATAAATAACATAAACGAATAAAACTTGCGAAGTTTTACGGTTGCAAACTTCTGTGTTAACCAATTGCACGCAAAAAGACGCCCAGCCATTCGATCGATGTTCTACTTGGTTCGATAAGACAGCGACTGACAACGAACAGCCAGTACAATTTCAATTTAAGTCCCAAATAACACATAGAAACCGCCTTGTAACTATCCTGTGCTTGAAAATTATAATTATAACGGCCAAGATATCATTT